TTGTATTTGTGGGGCCCCACCAGGCCACATATACCACAGGTTTTTGGAGTGCCCCAGTAATGCTGAGCTTCTGGAAGAATGCCTTGCTGAAGGCGGCCTTGAAGACCTGAAGGGGCCCCCGGGCCTTTGCTTTTTGTGTTGGTGTTCTTGGGCCTCCACCATTTAAGGTGCCGAGGCCCATTGGTCTTGGCCTTGCCGGGGCCCAGTTGCGGTCCCGAAGCGGCCTTTTGCCTCCGGAAGCCTTTACGGGCGAGGCTTATGTTGACGGCGGTGTGACCAAGGACGGCCACCCGTGGTTCCGCGCCCCAGGATGGGCTACGGTGAAATGTGATGCCAACGGGGAAGTTGAGGCCTACCTTTGTGGGCCTACTGGCCCTCCCGCCCACTTCCCCTGCGGCGGAGTTTCTAGCGCACCTTGCCTCCAGCCAGTTCAGAGGAGTGGCTAGTATTCATTCTGACTTCAAAGGCACGGTGAATTTCCACAACTCGGGCCGGCCCGCCAGTCGGAAGAACATGTGCGATGGGCTGGGCTCTATGGCCAGGCTAGGTGAAGCCCGTTGCGCGGGAGGTTTTACAGTTGTTAACGTTAAGTCGCCCATGAAGATTTAGAATCCCTGGACCGCCACTCTGATGAGTGGCGGCATGCTTCGGGGAACGATGCAAAAGCCAGAATTGCCAAACAAGCTGCTTCGCGCGTCCCCCAGCCCTCGGAAGGAGAGAGACGCCCAGCAGCATATCGAAAAATACATTCAAACGTTTCCTTCGGTACGCGCCGAAGGCTCTTGCGCCGCGGCCCTCTGTTTCCCCGAGGGTCGGGGGGGAGGCCTCGATGGCCCAGACAAGGCAACAAACCCGTATGTAGGAGCTCGATCGATCGCGGAAGTGTGGCACAGCAGAGCTAACTCAGGGGGGGTCCTCTTCGGGCCCTGGAGCCGTGGCGGATCCCCCCCTCCTCGGCCCCTTCGTGGGGTGCGTGCTCGTGCCCGTATTGGGCATGCGCTGACTTGGCAGAAAGCACGTTGGCTCTGCTGCCCTTGCCACTCGCGATGCATGTCTGATAAAGTCAAATTTTCCCGAGCAGCGGAGTCGCGCCCTGGCAACGCAGCTCGGCTGGCCAACCTTATCGAGCAGCCGAATGGCCACAAGCTTGCATTTTTTGACAGGGTGAAAGATGCAAGCTGTAGTGTAGCTTGTCAGTTGTGCGGCAAGTATTCTGAGTGCACCGCCAAGAGCCTCCAGAAAAGCTGCCCCCAGGAATTCACTTCTACATATTCAGAAGGCGCCTACGCGCGCCTAGCCGATGGGGTGACGCCCAAGGGCCTCCAAGACTAGCCCCATTGTCTTTAACCCGCCTATCCCGATTGGCAAAATTGTTGCCCAGGTAGTCCAGGCGCAGGCAGGCCCACACCATGGACGAGGCTTGCCCACCGTCCCGGCGTTCTCCACACCAGGGAAGGGCAGTGCCGAGTCGTCTTGGCGTCGCCTTTCTCTGTGTACTTTGCGTGCGTGCGTGCGCGTTCCCCGCGCGTGCGTCAGGCACCGCGACCCAGGGGGAAGGGGCGCTTCACTTCAATATTCTGCGGCGCTGGCCGCAGCTACGCCTAGGCCCGGTGCAGATTCGATCTGGGGTTGTGTTCGTCGTTCCGACTGGCGGCGCTGGTGTCTCGCAGCCAGCCCTGGTACCCGAGCTTTGGGGTGCCGCCAGCCAGGCGAGACATGCCGTCTTTTTCATTGCAGAGTGCTGTTTTGGCGCAACCGCGTTGCTTGGCCTTTTTGAGCCTGCTAGCCCCCCCCCCACGCAGCGACAGAGGCACAAGGGCCCCCCGCGGTTTTCTGGGCACGGCTGCCTTGTCCACCCCGACCGCTGCCCAGGACCACTTCCCCACCCGCCCCGCCACAGGCGGCGGAGGAATGGGGCGAAGTGGCCAGGTGTGCAAACGCCACATCAGGGCCCAACGGAGTACTTGCGACTTGCGCGTTGCGTGCGCGCGCGCGAGGTCCTGCACGCGTGCCAGGCACCCCGCCTCAGGGGGAAGGAGCGCTGCACACTCTTCTGCGGCTCAGGGCTGCAGTTCCGCCCAAGACCGCAGCAGATTTTCTTTCTGGGGTTTGAGTGTTCGTCCTGGCGGACGGTGCTGGTTACGCAGCCAGCCCTAGAACCCGAGCTTTGGGGTTCCGTCAGACAGGGACGCCTGACCTACCCTTTCCAGCGTGCCCGTTTGCTTGGATTTTCTGAGCACGGGGGTGGACCTGGATTGCCAGTCCGCCCCGACAGTGGCTCTGCCACTCTCCCCCTCCCACGATCGTGGGCGGTGGAGGTATGGTTTCTGCTGCGGCTTGGTGTGCAAGGCCACACCAGGCCCCAGAACCTCATCCAGCGTCGGCAGCGCACTGCCGTCTCAGCGGCACCCATGGCCGCTGTGAATTAACAGTTGGTGGCCCAGAGCCACGAGGTTTCGGGTCAGGGTCGGGCCGGCCAACCCTTAGCCTCCCCTTTAGCCAGGTGATGGTCCTCCTCCTCCTCCTCCTCCTCCTCCCCGTCCCTGCTCCCTGCTCGCTGTCTTCCTTCTGCCCCTTCCGTCTGCCTGCCTGCCTGCCTCGTTCCGCTGGCCCTGGCCTCCCGCCTTTGCGTTCGTCGTCGTCTGTTTATGTCTTCCGTCCTCCCCACTTCGTCTCTTGGGGTCTTCGCGAGGCGTCTCAGAGCGCTCTCGGCTCTATGCCCGTCTAGTGCCTTCGGTGTCCGTCGTGGGGGGCCCTTCTGGGCCGTATTGGGACCCTGCGGGGCCGTCTTGGCCGTCTCTTGGGCTTCCTTGGAGGCTTCACTGGGCCGTCTCGAAGGCCTCCTGGACTGCCTAAGGGGCCCCCTTGGAGGCTTCACTGGGCCCTAGGTCTTTTGAAGACCACCCGTGGATTGATCTTCGGCGAAAGAGCGTAGACAACGAACGGGATGGAGCAACACCAGAGGGCATCAGTGTGTCTGGCCTCTCGAGGGCCTCTGGAGAGCGTCTTGTGTGTGTGTGTTTGTGTGTGTGTTTGTGTGTGCGTGCGTGTGTGAGCCTCTTGGAGGCCTCTTGTGATGTGGCCTGGTCGCCTTGGGAACTGTTGGGTGCCTCTGAAGGCGATGTTGGAACATCTTGGCGACCTTGGTCTGCTTCCCTGGCCGTCGCGGAGGCGCCCATGAACCCGGGGGGGGGGGATGGGGAGGGGACGATGCATGCAGAGCTTTGTTAGAGGGGACGGGGGAGCCGTAGAAGACTTCCAGAACGCCTGCCAGGCAGCACTTGGCATTCCACCACGCCTCAACATGCCAGGGGACCGGGGGCATGGTGGAGGATACAACACATGCGAGTTCTACTCACATGACTGTTGGACGCATATCTCGAGAGGTAGGGTACCAGCCATCAATGTTTGTGCGCGCCATTCCCCGAATCCCCCCTCGCACATCGGCAACGATGCCCTCTACGAAGACGTCGTGGATCGATTGGCAGAGCACATAGTTGCAGGGCGGTTCGTGCTTCACAGGGATGTTTCGGTCAGGGCATCCAAATTCGTCGCTAGCTCAGCTCGCCTCGAAGCAGTTGTCAAATCCACGAGGTTTTGATCAATGATATTCTGTTGTTTGTCCTACCATACTGTGGTGTTGGGCCCTCTTTTTCAAGAAGCAGCGCCCCGCGTTCCTCCTTCTCCTTCTCCTTCTCCTCCCTCCCTGCCTCTGCCCTCCGCTTGTCCACCATTTCAGCGCACCCAGTCTATCGTTTCATGGCTCCAATCGGGAGGTCCACCAAAGGCCACCGTGGGTGTGAGCAACTGCGTCCCACATGCGTCCCGCGACACGCAGTCCAGGGTTTCCGCGACCCCATAGGGAGCCCCACCGAAGGCCCCAGTGGCTGTGACCACATGCGTCCCGCGCCACCTAGTCCGGCGTTTCGCGGCACCATGGGGAGCTTCACAGAAGGCCCTAGTGGCTGTGACCACATGCGTCCCGCGCCACGCAGTATGGCGCTTCGCGGCTCCAGTCGGGAGCTCCACCGAAGTCTCCAGGGGTTGTGACCACATGCGTCCCGCGACACCCAGTACGGCGTCTCGTGGCCCCATGGGGAGCTTAATCGAAGGCCCTAGTAGCTGTGACCACATGCGCCCCGCGACACGCAGTATGGGGCTGCGTGGCCCCATATGGATCTCTACCGAGGCCCCAGTGGCTGTCACCACATGCGCCCCGCGTCGCCCAGTACGACGTTTCGCGGCACCATGGGGAGCTCTTCCGAAGGCCCAAGTGGTTGTGACCACATGCGTCACGCGCCGCCTAGTACGGCGCTTCGCGGCCCCATAGGGAGCTCCACCAGAAGCCCCAGTGGCTGTGACCACGTGCATCCCGCGCCGCGCAGTACGGCGTTCCATGGCCTCAAAGGGAGCTCCACCGAAGGCCCCAGTGGCTGTGATCGCATGCGCCCGCGCGACCCAGGACAGCGTTTTGTGGCCCTATTGGGATCGACCGAAGGCCCCACTGGCTTTGGTCACATGCGTCTACCCCCGACCATTTCGGCACACCACTCACGCGTTTTGTGGCCCATACGGAGCTCCATCGAAGGCCCCAGTGGCGACGTTCGCATGCGTCCCCCTCGCCCATTTCGGCATACCCCTCACGCTTTTCGTGGCCCGAGCTCCATCGAAGGCGCCAGTGGCGACTTTCGCATTACGGCCACCCCTCACACGTTTCGTGGCCCCATATGGAGCGCCACCGAAGGCGCCAGTGGCTGCGCCCGCATGCGTCCCCGCCCCATTTCGGCACACCCTCTACACGCTTCGTGGCACCAGAAGGTGATCCACCGAAGGCGATGACCGCAATGGCGATGTTCACAACTGCATATGGTTGTGCCCTTCGCCAGGATAATTTGGTGCCCACTCTCGAATCGACCGATCAGCAGGGGCCTAGCATCCCTTGGCTGTCACGCGATGGGAGCGATCGCGCGATCGTGTAGGCTGGCAATGTGCGCCATGAGGTTCCCGAGCGCTCTCTTGATTTAGTATTCCTGGACGCCCGGCACGACTACGAGGCGGTGGCGGCAGACGTGGTTGCTTGGCGACCCAAGGTCATTGGGCAGTCCTGATTGCGTTTCCCCCTCTGCATTTCTTGGGTGTATAGGCCATCAAGGATGTCATTCTGGGGGGCGGCAATCGTACGTTGCAAGTTGTCCACCCGTGTTTTCAGACCCCGTAAAGGTGCGGCCAGGCGGAATCCTGTCGGGCCACGACTTTAGCTGGATGTTCCCAACTGTCGCCATGGCGGTCTACTCTGCAGCATTCGACTCGCCCGAGCGGACCATCCACTTGGCGCCAGACGGCGTCTGGTGGCTCCAGCTGTGAGTGCTCGCCTTGGCCTCCAGGGCTCCTCTCCGAGGGGCCGCAAACCTGCAGATTCGGTACAGAAGTGTGCGGCCTCTATTTTGGAGGGTTGCCATGGGATATGTGCGTTGACGTTGATCGAATGCCGAGGCAGAAAACATACAAGTATAAAACACAAGCGCGTTCGTATCTGACTTGAAGCGCGAGTGGGCGAGTAGCTGTCTTGGCGGTCGTTCTCGCAACCCCGTGTATTTCCCTATAGGTACGCCGACCGAGAAGCTCCTCTCTTCCCCAGCCCCGCTGCGTGCTGCCTCTTCGAAACCGGCGCAGGTTCGACCCATCCAGGCAGAGTCTTAGCCGAGCTAGACATGGTATGCCATCAGATTTGCCAGCCAAGACCTTGCCCATTGAAGATATGTTGCGTTCGCGTAGCGTCGCAATTGAACTTAGATGTTCCAGTTTCTTGTTGATATTGCTAGCCGGGCGAAGCAATTCGATAGGGGTCTTCTTGCAACAAACACTTCGGCAATTCATGCTGGCTTCGTTACTCGCACCCACGGGGCCCGAATGGCAGAGTACGCGAGTCCCCTTCTGTTCTTTTTCTGTCATGTGGTGATGATGCAGATGTCCTTGGCCATCTCTGTTGACGCTGAACTCGCTACTTGCCGTGGTCAGAGTGATGAGGCCGAACAGTCTTCTGCTGTCCCTCGTTGTAGCCTGAAGGGGCGTCCGCACCGCTTGAGAAGGACGATTGGTGATCCACCTTGTATTGCCATTGGTTTTGTTTTTCAACGTGTGCCTCTCGATGCTCGCACCTTGATTATAGGCGTGAGGTAGCTTGGGTGTCACATTGTGTTGTTGTCCTTCAGTAGATGTCAATACCGACTTACGTACATTCATGTGGTGGATGATACGCCTCCCATCTCCAACATTAGTGTAAAGTTCATTGTCTCCGATGCTCAAATCCATGGACGTGTCGAATAGCTTTCCATCATTCCCTCTCCATCTGCCATCACCCTCTCTCTCTCGCCTTCCAACTTCTTCCCTTTTCCATCAGTCCTCATCATGGAGTCCTCATCCTCTTTCCGTCCGTATCGTTCCTCCCGAGTCTACCCCTCCGATCCTCCGCCCACCCACAATCCCCCTCTCTATCCCTCTCTCTATCCCTCTTTCTCTCTCCCTCTCTCTCTCCCTCTCAGCGCGCGCGCGGGTTTGCCACCGCTTCCGGCGATGCGCTCTGATCAAACAGGAGTTTTGTAGCCACAATCGGCCGCTCGTCTTGTTGGCTAGTGTAACTCGTTTTTGCCAGTTATGGAAGAGTACGCGAAGCAGTTCAAAGCGAAAGTCGAGGAAATGCAAAGCCGCGTTCAGACGCAAATGTTGCCTGTAGAGAAGAAGACCTGGCAGTGTGTCGTGGACTGCTACAGCAAGGGCAAGGACTACAATTCCGTCCATCAATGCGCTGATTCATGCCAGTCGCAGCTTCAGAGTGCGTCCAAAAAGGTAGCAGGAGAGTTTGAAGCGCTGCAAAGTTCCATCCAAGCCTGCCAGCAGAGCAAGCAGAAGATGTTGGAGCCAAGGTTCGAGGCCGCCAGAACCGATCAGAAGTTGCAGGACGCCCTCCAGAAGGAGTTCGAAGACGGAGTGCGCAGGTGCATGCAGGAAGCAGAGCCGATGCTTCCTGGCATTGAGAAGCGCATCAAGGATCACCTTAGGGTTTGATTTTGGGGCTATCAAGTAGATCTCCACCTGAAAGCGCTTCCGCTAATCGTAGGGGGACGACGAGAATGCGGGACTCGACGTTGTGTCGGTCAGTGGCAACGGGTGATTCAATCAGCTGAGCTTTGGTGGGTGTGTGAGAGCGGCCATGGCCACCGTCAGCACCAACGATTATCTTTGGATCCACAAGCACGAACCCTGAACATCGCAGTCTGGCATCTTCTGCCCCGCTTCTCTTACATTCTCCTCGCCGCGCCCCGCAAGTCACGCCCCTCCATCTGAGGGGTCAGGAGGAGGATGAGACCATCATGCGGGGGAGAATGAGGGAAAGGAGGGGATGCGAATCTTGGGAAGAGCAGCCATGTGCCGCAGGGGGTGCCTCCCGCCACCGCAGCGGGGCTCATGAGCCCGTCTGACTGGCGTCGGGGGGGTCTCCCGTGGCCTGTCCAGGGAGAATTTCTGTTGTGATGGGCTCCGCTGCTGCGGCTCTGTCCTTCCCAATCTCCCCTCTTCTCCTCTCCCCCTATTCTCCTCCTCGTCAAGCCCCTGCAACTCTACGTCTTTATCCCCCCATCCTCCTCGCCATCCCGCTCCCTCCTCCCTGGCCCCCCATTCCCTCTCCTGCTCTTCCGTTTCTGCCTGCCTCCTGTCCTCCCTCTCCGCCACCTTCTCTTCGTCTCCCGACTTTCTCGTCGCTTGACGACTAACATTTCATTGGTTCGTTCTTCTGCCTCCTTCCTGATAAGGCTCCGTCTGAGAACACCGTTCCAGAAGCTCTTATGCCCCCACCCGCCAACATTTTTCGAAGCCGACCAAGGCCTTGTCTTCGGCGACCCTGGGGTGTCCAGGGAAGACTTGGTCGCCGTCTGAACGTACAAAGGCGCATCGAACATTAGCGTGGATGTCCTTTTCTGCAGAAGCCTTCCGCACTATGCCGACGCCACACGATTTGGACCAGCTTGGCCTCAGGCGTCATGTGGCGCGGGCGGTCAGACAGGTTTGGCGGGTGGGGTCGGGGGTGCATGGCACCCTGCATCCGAGTGAGGGGGCCGAGCGGTCCTGCGCGTCCCTGGGTGCGCGGTGCGGCCCCGCTTTGCGCGTCACCCGCACCCCGCCCCGCGACCTTAACACGAGCCACCAACAACGTTTCGACTCACCAACAAAAAACAAGGGGGAACACGTCCGCGGCAGGCTGCTTGCTTAGTTTGTCTCTTGTTGACTTCTCGCTTCCGAGAAATTAACAGTGTGGATTCCCATTGTCCGCCGCCCATTGTGCTTTTCCATGGAAGTGCCCCTGTCGGCTCTCGCCCACAGCTTGTCGTGCTCAGGGAAAGTGTTGGTGCCCAACTTGAGTTGCTGGCCCCTGGGATACAACAGCAGCAACAATAATGTTACGACTGTTCGTTGCTGTTTGTTTCCGTATCATACAAAATGAATATCCCAAACCATCGATACCCGCTCCCATCGTTTTTGGTCATACCCCTAGGAGGATATCTTCCGTACATGCCACGTGCAGTTGGCGCAGCAATTGCTCCAGCGTTCGATTTTCCTATTATTGATTTAACTCGGGTGCTCTCGTTCGAGATTTCCGCGTTGCTCAAAAAGCGCGCTTTCGCCGGAAACTGATTCATTGATTGGTAAAGAACAGCGCTCTGGCCCGAAAATCACCCATACATATTAAAAAAAAAACGCGCTGTCGCCCGAGACTTCCTCAGAAGGGTGCTCTCGCGCAAGACCTGCTTTCCCAACTTGTCCAATCTCACCGGAGACTTCCTCGTACACTGTTAGAGAAGCGCGCTCCCGCCGCTCACGCATCGCGCTCGCGCATGGGAGTTTCGTGCAATTTGCCAAAGTTCGCGCCCCCGTCAATCAGGAATTTGAGGCCACAACCTACTTGCAGAAAACCTAAATAGGGGCCCGCCAGATGCTGATTTCATTTTCTGGCCACAAGCGTCGTTACATATGGATGTCGTTACATATGGATGTCGTTATATACACAATGGATGTCGTTACATGTGCAGACGCATTCGGGGTGGATGCGTCTATAGACAACGACCGCGGCCGTTGCGTTCGGTGGAGTACATGGTCGGAGGCAGGTTAGACCCGTTCACAGTATGTCCTCTTTCTTCAGCAGGGGTCCCACATTGTATTCCAAATGAGAAAGCTCATTCCCGCCTGGGATTTTCGTTGCTTTGATGAAGGACTCGCACTCTCAGGGGTTTCCTCGCGGTCCGTTCAAAACTCGCGCATGAATGTCCCGCCCGGCCCTCCTGCTGGGGTGTGCCAGGCCGACCTGGTTGTTAGGCCGCCCGCCAGCTCCGCCCAGCGGGGTCTGCCCGCCCGACCCGCCCGACCCACCCCCATCGGATGGGGCGGCCCTTATAATGGCGACAAAAGAAGTAGTCGCCGCAGCGCAGCACCGCTACCCGCGCCGCAGCAGGTGCGCAAAGGAAATCTGGCAAGCAGAGCCGGGTCACGGGCGGTTCTGGTCGAGGTCGTAGCCACTCAGTTCGGTGTGCGGCACCCACGCGCGGAGAATGCTCCAGCGAGTCGTGCTGGGGAAGAGGGCGCCCATCGTCTGGGAAGGGATGCGCTTTTTCTCTCAGTGCGAACAGGGCCCGCGCATGGCCAGAAATGATGCAGACATGGCATGTTTCCTCGAACAGGGCTGCTCAGAAGAACAGCTTCGCCACTGGTGGCCCTTGAAACGCGTTACCCGCGATGAGAACAACCGCGCCATCAGAACGTCAGATCGTCGCGGCAATGGGAGCGATGAGGGGCGTGCACACAAGCGAGATGTCCTCAAATCTCGCAGGACCTACCATGCGCGCCCATGCCCGCCTCGCAGCCAACGCCGCTATGATTGCCCCATGGGCCGTCCATCTCGCAGCCCGCATCATGGCGAGACACAGTGGCATTATGACCACGGTGGCGGCATAGGCGGAAGGGCGGCCGCGCCCGAGGCGGATTGCATCCCGCTGACCGATGCGGAAGGCAAGACGTCGATGATGACTGGGGTGCCCTTGACGAGAAGTATATGTTCAAAATCTACAACCAGGGTTGGCACTGGCAAAGGCGGAACAGAGATCCTGCCGAGGCACGCGAGGGTAGGGGTCGCAGCATTCCCCGTCAGCGCGAGCTAAACGCGACGGGACAGGTCGCAGGAAACCCCAGCGCCGAACTCCTGACATCTCCTCCAGCACCCACCCGGTGGGCAGGCGAGAAGATTGAAGAAGAAGAAGAAGAAGGATATCAGGAAAAGCGGCCATTAGCACCTATCTCACCTGCCGAGCCACAGGGCGGACGCGCCAACTGGTTGCCGCTGGGTCTGCGGAGTCAGGATGGCCCGGTCTATCGCGGTGGCCGGGCACTTTCGCCACCTGCAGCGCGGACGAGGAGATCGAGCTCGGCAGCGGGCAGAGACGAGTCAGCGCCCGATGCGCTTTTCGACCCCGCAGCGATGAATAGTCTAGAGAAGACCGGGGCACTGGCCGACCAGAACCGCCGCCAGTCGGCAAGCAGCCGCAGCCCATGCCAGAAGGCTTCCAAGTGGAGCCCCTTCGGGTCAGATGCAAAGGAAAGGTCGGCGAGGCTAATCAGTGCTGCGCGGGCAAAATTCCGAGGCGGACCACCGGTTGAAACGCCTGCCGAGTCGCCTGCCGCGGCCTCGCCATCTGCCCGGCCGCCGGCAACGCTATTCAAACCGAAATCAAAAGCTCCACCCTTGAAGCCAGTTGGCACGCATATACCAGCGGGGGCGGGCGCGCCCGCGGACGCGCCCAGATCAGCGGGGGCAATGTGCGACGAGGGGCGCGCCCGTGACCAACGTGAATTGCCGACGCATTCCGCCGCCGAAGCAGAGAAACAAAGGTGGCGCAATGAACTTCGCAACTCTCAACCCCTGAGTTTCAGAGGGGAAATGCTGCATCTAGAGACCCCGAAGAGAAGGGGAAATGTCCGGTTCAATCCGTCACCGCGCCAGCATGAAATGATTGCTCTGTCTGACTGGTGGTCCCACACTTGCGCGCGCAGGCCAATTCACGGCGGCGCCCATGATGGGCGCTTTGGGAGAGCATGCTGGACATGGGGTCGCCATGATGGTTGGGTTGCAGTTTCGGATGCTCTGGCTCGCATCTGGAGTGGTAAGGGATGCTATGTTGCATGCCGTTGTGCGCATTACCAACAACGAGATTACTTAACTTGCATGTTCCTGCACATCTGCGATCTGACGGACAGTTCGAGGGCCGAGAAGAACCGCCTTCAGCTAACGTGCGCGCGCGACGACGAGGACGTCGCAACCTCGTGGATCAGGGTCACTAGTGGGAACTCGTTTCCTGGCGTAGTATACCCAAAATCGCTGCGCACTGAAGTGGCGCGCGTAGGCGCCAACGCCGATGCGGCCCTTCATGCGCGGAACCGAATGGAAATTCCCATGTGGAATCGTCGAGCGCGGGCTGTCCTGCCGCCCAGAACACAGTTCACAAGGTATGCGCTGCCGGTGGCTCGCGCACGGATGCTCGCAGGGGAAAGCGAGAACCGCTAACTATATATATATATTTGACGAACGGCATCGACGGCATTATCCCGACCGTGCGCATCGCGCAACTTGCGTTGAAACCCAAATTCGCGCGGAATAGCGGCTACCAGAACCCCCGGTATTTTCAGCGACGGGGCTGGCCGATAATCCTTTTACTTGATGCGGGGGCACACGCTGGAATGACCTCGCCAACATACGCTGGGCCACTGGCAGCTCTGCCGACAGACGCCGGCTCATCCCCCTGGATGATGCCGCCATTCAACGAGATGTTTACTCTGTCGGATGTCTTCGGTAGGCATGACCCTTGGGCAGCCGACCTTGGCAGGGCCGCCGGCGAGCCTCGGACCGGCAAGGCCGCCGTCGAAAGCTGGCCCCAGCAGGTTCGAGCCCGCGGCATTCGGTCAGCCAAGGTCCGAGCCGAGCTTAGCGCCGGGGGCGGGCGCTCCCACCGGCCCACCGGCAGCGTCGGCGAGCAGCGAGGGCCTCATGCAGCGCATGTCCGTGCTGCGCCAGTATCCCCAACCTGGCAGCCGCTATGGGGGCATCAACGCCGCTCGGCACTCCGCGCCAAGGCCAGGCTACTGGCCGTCCAGAATGTTCGCCGATGGCAACGCCAACAACAGACCAGCCTGGTGACAAGCAGTCAGCACTTGAGCAACATATATTCATTAAACAACAACACATTGGATATGTCGGAGATGAGGTTGCTCGGGGTGGACGTGACAGATCGGACAACTGGGCGCCGCCCTGGGAGCGGCGCCCAGACACGAGTCCATCGGCAGACCATCC